AGTATATCCCACCTGAATTTAGAGACCATCTCAAGAGTATATTTGACATGTTGAACACAAGTGACCGAAGACCAGACGAGTTGTGGAATGACATCAAGGGCATCATACCTGAAGAAAGCAAGAGGTCATTAAAAAGACAGGAAAGAAAAAAAGAACAAAATGGATGTCAGAAGAAAGTCTGAAAGTTGTTCTTGAACATCAAGTAGCTAAAGGACAAGGAAGAAATGATAAAGTAAAAGAGCTGAACAGAAGATTTCAAAGGGTGACTGGAGAAAACAAAGTAAAATATTATAATGACACGTACAAAGACCTGGAGAGAGAAAACCAAAAGGAAAGAACACGCTCCTCATTTCTCAAGCTGAAAGAACTGAAGAAAAAATTTAAGCTCAAGTGGCAATATTGAAGGATTCTATGGAGAAAATAGTAAATGATGCAGGAAGCATCAAAAGAAGATGGAAGGAATACACAGTCACTATACCAAAAGGAATTGGTCAAGGTTCAACCATTTCAGGAGGTAGCTTATGATCAGGAACTGATGGTACTGAAGGAAGAAATCCAAGCTGCACTGAAGGCATTGATGAAGAACAAGGCCTCCAGAATTGACAGAATACCAGTTGTGATGTTTCAATAAATGGATGCAGTGCTGGAAGTGCTCAATCATCTATGCCAAGAAAATCGGAAGACAGCTACCTGCCCAATCAACTGGAAGAGACCCATAATGATGCCTATTCCAAAGAAAGGTGATCCAAACAAATGCAGAAATTATCAAACAATATCATTAATATCACATGCAAGTAAAATTTTGCTGAAGATCATTCAAAAGTGGCTGCAGCAGTATTTTGACAGGGAACTGTCAGAAATTCAAGCTGAATTCAGAAGAAGACATGGAACAATGGATAGCATAGCTGACTTCAGATGGATCCTGGCTGAAAGCAGAGAATACCAGAAAGATGGTTATCTGTGTTTTATTGACTATTCAAAGGCAATCGACTCTGTGGATCATAACAAATTATGGATAACATTGCAAAAATGGGAATTCTGGAACACTTAATTGTGCTCATGAGGAACCTGTACATAGATCAAGAGGCAGTCATTCAAACAGAACAAGGGGATACTTCATTGTTTAAAGTCAGGAATAGTGTGGGTCAGGGCTGTATCCTTTCACCATACCTATTCAATCTGTATGCTGAGCAAATAATCTGAGAAGCTGGACTATATGAAGAAGAATGGGACATTGGGATTGGAGAAAGACTCATTAACAATCTGCGTTATGCAGATGACACAAACTTCGTTGCTAAAAGGGAAGAGGACTTGAAACACTTACTGATGAAGATCAAAGACCACAGCCTTCAGTATGGATTACACCTCAACGTAAAGAAAACAAAAATCCTCACAACTGGACCAATAAGCAACATCATGATAAACAGAGAAAAGATTCAAGTTGTCAAAGGTTTCATTTTACTTGGATCCACAATCAACATCCATGGAAACAGCAGTCAAGAAATCAAAAGACACATTGCATTGGGCAAATCTGCTGCAAAAGACCTCTTTGAAGTGTTAACAAGCAAACAGGTCACCTTAAAGACTAAGGTGTACCTGACCCAAACCATGGTGTTTTCAATTGCCTCATACGCATACGAAAGCTGGACCATGAATAAGGAAGACCAGAGAAAAATTGATGCCTTTGAATTGTGGTGTTGGCGACCAACAAACAAATCTGTCTTGGAAGAAGTACAACCAGAATGCTCCTTAGAAACAAGGATGGAGAGACTACGTCTCACATACTTGGGACATGTTATCAGCAGGAGCCAGTCCCTGGAGAAGAGATCATGCTTGGTAAAGTAGAGGGTCAGTGAAAAAGAGGAAGACCCTCAACAAGATGGATTGACACAGAGGCTGCAACAATGGGCTCAAGCAGAACAATTATTGTAAGGACGGCACAGGACCGGGCAGGGTTTCTTTTTGTTGTACGTAGGGTCACTATGAGTTAGAACCGACTCAGGGGCACCTAACTACAATAACAAGTAACAGGTTGCTTCAACCAGAATGATCTTCATAAAGGAATGGCATGATCAAAGTCTTGGGGGTGTTTTCTTCCTATTGACTCCTTACTGTGCTGTGCTTCCTCTACCATAGGCTCCCCCAGGCTGTGCACATGCTTCCACAGTTGCCTGTTTGCTTTCTGAATCTCCATGCTGCAGAACGTCCTCTGGAACAGTTTCATTCTTCTACAGCCAGCCTGTCTTGGGGCTTCTTTGCCTGCTACAAGCTTTACCACATGCAGCTTTGTGGATGTGGTGAGCAAGAAGAAAGTGGACTCAGCCCCCCACCCCCACACTCTCTCTTCCTATACTTCTTTAGGACAGGCCATGTTTCCCTGTGAGAGCAGAATGAATTCTCCCTCCTGGACCATGGCTCAGCTTCCGGGATCTTCCCTCTCCTAGGCAGCATGGGAGAAGTGAAGTTGGATTTAGGGCATCATGTGGATAGACTGGAGAGCACAGCGGCCCATCAGCAGAGGAGCGAGCCCATCCTCCACCCTTCCCTATGGTGAAGCTGCAGCCTTGTGCTCCGCACAAGGACAAGGAGTAAGGCTGATGACAGAGAGCAGTCTCTGCTTGGCTGGGGACCTTGCTTATATTTTATTCATTGTACGTTTTAGCTACACTGTATTGCTATCTGAATCTCAGTCTGTCAACAGGCCTTGTAGACTTCATTGTTGTTAGGTGCCAGCAAGTCAGTTCCAACTCATAGCGACCCCATGTACAACAGAAGAAACACTGCCTGGTCCTGTGCCATCCTCACAATCATTGCTATGTTTGAGCCCATTGTTGCAGCCACTGGGTCAATCCGTCTCGTCGAGGATCTACCTCTTTTTTACTGACCGTCTTCCTTGCCAAGCATGATGTCCTTCTCCAAGGACTGATCCTTCGTAATAACATGTCCAAAGTATGTGAGACCCGAAGTCTTACCGTCCTTGCCTCTAAGGAGCGCTCTGGCTGTATTTCTTCCAAGACAGACTTGTTCGTTCTTCTGGCAGACAATGGTGTATGCAATATTCTTCACCAACACCACAACTCAAAAGCATCAACTCTTCTTCCATCTTCGTTATTCACTGTCCACTTTCACATGCATATGAGAAGATTGAAAATACAGTGGCTTGGGTCAGGAGCACCTTAGTCTTTAAGCATCTTTGCTTGTTAACACCTTAAAGAGGTCTTTTACAGCAGATTTGCCCAATGCAATATGTTATCTGGTTTCTTGACTGCTGCTTCCATGGGTGTAGATTGTGGATCCAAGTAAAATGAAATCCTTGACAACTTCAATCTTTTCTGCATTTTTCAGGATGTTGCTTATTGGTCCAGTTGTGAGAATTTTTGTTTTATGTTGAGGTATAATCCATACTAAAGGCTGTGGTCTTTGATCTTCATCAGTAAGTGTTTCAAGTCCTCTTCACTTTCAGCAAGCAAGGTTATGTCATCTGCATATCGATGGTTGTGAATGAATCTTCCACCAATACTGATGCCACATTCTTCTTCATATAGCCCAGCTTCTGTACACTTCATTATAAGGCCTTAAGATAAAGAATGAATTTACAACTGTGTAGGGAATGTTGTAATGCACACGCTGGTGCTCTGTTCACCTATTCCGACCTCTCAAGGTCAGCTGAAATCAGACAAATTTAAGGGAACCTCTCGTTTGTCCCCACTAGTCTGTAGTCCCCATGGAGGGAGGCTGCACAGTCATTTTCCCAGAGTGACTCTCCCTGGCCCCTCACCCTCTAATTCACCCCGAGAGTGACTCTCCATGGCCCCTCACCCTCTAATGTACCACTAGAGTGACTTTGGCCCCCCACTCTCTGATCTGCCCTCACCATCTTCCCCATAGCCCCTTGCTGTTCTTCTTCGTAGCACTTATTATCACTTGTACCTGGACATTTATCGGGTATGACTCGTTTAATGCATTGCCCAGCCAGACTCTGAGCTACATGAAGATCCACATGTCTGCTTCGTGTGGCAGGTAGAAAGCGCTCCAAATTTGTTTTTAAGGCAATTTTTATTCCTTTTTTATTCTTTGAGTTAATGAGAACAGGATTTGATTTTCATTATTTTGCTTCTTCTATTTTAGGCATTCTTATAATGTAAAGCCATATAATAATTCAAATAGCCACATAGTCATGGGTTATCAATATTCTGGCAGTGTCATGAAATCCCAGGTGGCACCACATACCCCGATAGGCCGGTACCAAGGGCAGAAGGTGGGTCCGGAGGAAGGCCAAGAATGGAGAAAGCCCATCGCCTGAGCTTCTCTTCTCCCGTAAACTCTCCATTTGTGCTTCTTTCCTAGGCTGCCATGACAAGTCACCATAGACTTGGTGCCTTAAAACAACACGGTTATTTTCCCATAGCTCAGGAAGCCAGAAGTCCATAGTCAAGGTGTTGGCAGGGCCATGTTCCCTGTAGGGGAAGATCCTTTCTTTCGTCTTCCAGCTTTTGGTGGCTCCTGGAAATCCTTGGCATATGGCAGCATCGCTCCAGCTCAGCCTCTGCCTTCTGATAGTCTCTCTGTGTTGCTATCTGTGTTGTCTTTTCTTTCTCTTATAAGGATGCTCACCACTGCGTTTAGGATCCTCCCTGACCCAGGATGATCTCATCTTGAGATCCTGGCCTTAATTGCACCAGCGAAGGCCCTTATTGCAAATACGTTCACATTGGGAGGTTCCAGATGGACATATCTTTTGGGGGGACACACTCAACCCGCTACATCATCTTAGTTAGAAAAAGTTTATAACTAAGTTATAAAAAGTTTTTAAAAAGAAAGTAACTATGCAGACAAGTTTAGCAAAGTGTTCATGCATTCCCTATCCAAAGAAATGACATTTTCTCATGGAAATATAAATATAAAATGTGCAAAAATTACACTCTTTATGGGAAAAATATCATGGCTTCCTTCATGAATATAAACTTGCAAACCCTGTTCTTTCCCCTCGCTTCCTACAGTATCTTATACGCCGACATTGTTGGGTTCACCCGGCTGGCAAGTGACTGCTCCCCAGGAGAACTCGTCCACATGCTGAATGAACTCTTTGGAAAGTTTGATCAGATTGCAAAGGTGAGTATTACAGATCACTGACTACTCTGAGGCTACATAAGGTCCTGGCTTACTTTTACACTGGTCTTTTATTTAATGTTTTGCTTTTTCATAATTGTATCCTTCAGCAACGCTGCTTATAAATTCACTGGATTCATCTACCATGGAGTCCCAGTGAATCTCAAACCTGTGTTAGGAAAGAGAAATGCCATGGCGTATAATAATCACATGTTGTCATCTATTTTTAAAACTTCTGCTTATATATAATTCAACACACTTATGATAAATACTGAGTTCTTGGATGGCACAGATAGTTAAGCACCCCACTGCTAGTCAAAAGGGTGGAGGTTCAAACCTACCCAGAGGTGCCTTGGAAGAAGGCCTGGAAGTCTGCTTCGGAAAGGTCACAGCCTTGAATACCCTATGGAGCACTTCTAATCTGCACACATGAAGTCGCCATGAGTCAGAATCAACTAACAACGTAACAACATGGTAAATACAATCAAGGGGATGAGATTCAGTTTCAAATCTCTCTGCACTGTTCCATCTTACGGTCCTCTTTAAGGTATCTGTGTGCCAAGGTGGGCTGAAATGATGTTCTCTCACTCAGTTGTAGCCTTGGTGTACTCATAGTGTGAAGCAGCACTTTGGGAGCACCCCAAAATAGGACTGTGTTGTTATTGTTATTGTTAATTGCATTCAAGGTCCGTACAACAGAAAGAAATGTTGCTCAGTCCTGCACCATCTTCACAATTGCTATGGTTATGTTTGAGCCCATTGTTGTATCTCATGGAGGGTTTCCCTCATTTTCGCTGTACCGAAGTAGGATGTATACCTTCTGTCCAAGCCTTTTACTTACTAGCCTCTCATTTTTGTCCCTTCACCCTTGTGGCACTTGACTAGAAATGTCAAGGACAGCGTGTTCCGTGACTGTCTTAGTCATCTAGTACTGCTATAACAGAAATACCACAAGTGGGTGACTTTAACAAACAGAAATTTATTTTCTCACGGTTTAGGAGGCTGGAAGTCTGAATTCAGGGTGTTGGCTCTAGTGGAAGGTCCTTGTCTCTTTTCTGCTTCCGTTCCTAGCTTCCTTGGCGGTCACGTGGCGTGTATCTTCCTGTCTGTTTGTGCTTGCTTGCTTCATCTGCTCTTTATATCTCAAAAGAGATTGATTTAACACACCCTACACTAATGCTCTCTTATTAACATAACAAAGAGAACCTATTCCCAAATGGGATTGTAACTACAGGTATAAAAAACCCATTGCCTTCGAGTCAATTCCGACTCATAAGGGTTAGGATTTACAACACATATTTTGGGGGAACGCAATTCAGTCCATAACAGTGACATATATTCACTTCTGGGAAATTTCACAGATAGAAAGTCATCTAAAATCATTCTAGAGCTTACTTATTGGAACTATTATTGTTGTTGGTGGGAATATTGATGAATAAAATCTTCTCTTCCTTGGCTGCCCTTTACTTTTCATTAACAAATTTCTGGTCAGCCCAATCTTTTCTTTTAATTGTACCCAACGAAAGATACTTCATTAAGCTGGTTAAAATTAGTTATTTATGTATAGAAGAATTGCTCATAAATTTAACTCACTGTGAAATCTAGTTCATTGAGACAATAGAGACAATTCTGGCCCAGCCTCTTAGGAAGAAGCCTGGCTGTCAGATGTCACCATAATTAATCTTGTGTCAAGTACCCCAAGAGGTGTCTTCTGCTTTCCAGCTGACCAGAGCAGCCTCGCGGGGACCTTAAAAAATCAATACATGTGCAGGGTCACTTCATGTCTCTACCAGACCAAAGGATGAGGTTGAGTCTTATGGGTGCCCATTTTTTAGAAAAAGAAAAATTGAAACTTAGTGTTTTGAGAGTTTGAATTTATAAAAGATCATTTTAGTTGGACTACTTGGTCATGTTAGGAAAAAAAGCATAGCAATCTGCTCGACAGGTGTGATGACATGGGTGACCACACCTACACCTGGGACTTTTAAAGGAGTGCTTATATGTGCCATATGCAAAGACCCGTGACCGATAAATACCTTAGGGGTCCTTAGGAATACCTGTCCATAATACACACACACACACACACACACACACACACACTCCCTGCAGGACAACTGAATGTTGGATCTGAGACAATCAAGGTGAAGACTTGAAGGGGGCCCAATGACGGTAAATCCCCCTTTGCCCTAACCCAACAGTCCATGGAGGACTGAGGGGCAAGCATCTTCCCTGTCATCATAAAGTAACCAGAACAGGGAGAAGACTCTTCCCTGCCTCTTGCCACTGTCCTCCATATTGAGATGTCCCTGGGTTACTTAGTGGTGCTCCGTGGACTTCCAGCTTCCTGCTGCAGTAAAGGAACGTCCAGGCAGCCTCTGAGGCCAGCCTAAGTAGCTCGCTCCATCCATTGTTGGTCAAAGGGCCGGCATGCTTTGGACACCAGTTCCTGGCTAATCACTAAATAATATGGGATGGAGAGCATCTTAAGCAAACAGATGGCTTGGTGCACTGAATGAACACCATGTAAAGCAAATAACGTTAAGCTCATGAACTCAAAATCGTTGCCCATTTGCTGTTACTAGCCGTAATGTTTTCTAGGCTCAGAATGTCTCTTCAGGAAGTATGGGAGGGAAGCGGTATTAATAAATAGTTGTTTGCTTTCTTATTGTTTATGATATTGTTACCAGGAATTACTAAGCACATCATTTCTAGTGCCACAGATAAGCATGAAAGTATACCTTAGCTTGTGAGATCGCTACCAGGCAGGGGAAGAAGTGTGTGAAAGCTTCAGAACACGCACATAAGAAGAAGGTATTATGTTCATTTTAGTTTTCCGCATTTATTCGGTTTATACATAAGCCTGTACTAGCGTTAGGAGTAATCTGTGTTTTGCGTATCTTTTTTATTATTTTATTTTAATGATGAGTCCATACACTAGTTAAAAAGGCTAGGAACCGACGTAGGATTGATACATATGAATGCAGCTCATTTAAATATTAGAATATAAACACAACGCGGGCAGGAAAAACAAGGAGGGTTTGTAGACCTATAAAGTTAAAAGGTTTAGCCAGAGATCAGAATTAGGTTTTAAATTACTTGGCAATGTTGAAAGGTGGCTTATTGTATTGTGGAGTTGTTTATCAGAGGTTAAAATAAATGGGTAAGTAAACGAAGAAAACCATGAGCACAGTAAGGAATGACAAGTGATTCAAAATAAAATTGGGTTTTGCTCCTCGTTTTCTACCCTGCAGGAGTCTGCTCTGTCTTTGTAGGCTTTATTCCACCATTGGTGTTTGAGGAGGTTCTGACTAATGGGGAAGACCCTGTCATTATACTACTCTGCACTTACTAACTGTAAATCATTCCAGAACAGTCTCTGGATTAATTTTTTGTTTTAAAAAGAGGTCACGTTTGTTGGACTACCTGGTCACATCAGAAAAAACATACCAAGCTGCTGGACAGGTGTGACATTATGGATGACGCATCCCCACCTGGGACGTTCTTCTCCTTCCTGTCATCTTCCTTCGTTCTGACTTTGTCGAGCGCGTGTGTGGGTGAGGGTGGCTCGTCCTTGCGGGGAAATGAAGGCAAAGCACCAGCTCTCATGTCTCCTCAGCTCAGCCCTGTTGCCTGCAGCGGCAATGGCAGAACTCTCTCTGGATGATGTTTGTGAGTCCTGGCATGATGTAAAAGCCTCACTCCATGGTTTCCTCTTCCAGGAGAATGAATGCATGAGAATAAAGATTCTGGGAGACTGTTACTACTGTGTGTCTGGCCTCCCCATATCGCTCCCCAACCACGCCAAGAACTGTGTCAAAATGGGACTGGACATGTGTGAAGCCATCAAGTAAGTGCTTAGTCGGATCTCTTTAAACGGCAGGACACCGTTGAGTTGTAATTCTCGCCTGCTCTATTCTGTTTTCCAGTCTACTGGTAAGGGTAACTAGAAGTGTGTGTAGACTCCTTTACTGCGTGTGAGTAACTCTGTCCAAGTAAGAGTACCTGTTTTATGTTGTTATGTTTAAGAGCCAAGATTACAGCAAAACTGAGTTGGAAATCTCTGGGAGGGCACGGCTTTGTGGATTTCAAAGGTGAGATATTTTTTTTTTTTTCATTTCAATGTCTTCTTTCATTTTAAGAAAACATCTGCCCTCTCAGCGCCTCCTTGATTTCTGACAAGCAGCACGCCTCTCCCAGATCGTGAGAGGTGAAGTTAATGGAACGGTGTAGTCCACAATCACTTCTAGCCATAAACGCGCACTTCTGTGACTTTGTTTCAGTTGATACGTTCTTTTGCGTTTCCCTATAGTTTCTTTCTGTATAATTCTAGAGACGATTAGCTGACGTGGAATAGTCATCACAATCGACACCCACGGGGTAGAAGTATAAGGTAGAAAGTTCCTCTTTATTAGCAGCACCATACACACCCTTCTGGAGTAACGTCCTTCTCAGAAGCCAGAATCGTTTTTAAAAATGATACGACCTTTTGATTGCTGACTGCCTGATTGAAAGATTTTAGTTGATTGGATTTTTTTTTTCTTTTTTGTGGTAATAAATATATATAAAAATGAGAGAAAGAGAGAGAAGAAGAGAAAGAGGAAAGGAAGGGGAATGGGGAGGGAAAAGGAAAGAGAGAAAAGAGCAGAGAACAATTTCTGTACTTTTTTGCAGGATGCCATTTATTTTTCCATAGTGAGTCTGTTGCTTTTTAGCATTTTTAGCATGATAAAATGATGCCATCTTAGGAGTCAAGCACGACATACATGCCGTTGTCATTTTGGGGGTTGTCGTGGTACTTGTTACTGCGATACCCACGTGGCAGTCTCTTCCTCCTTAAGCTGCTGTTACCAGCATCATTCCCCCCGGGGTAACGAGGGACAACTTCCTGTCTCCTTCTTTTATGATAATATTTGGTAACTGATGGATGCACTTGTCTGGCAGAAATAAATCGTCATTGCTGTGCATTTTCATCCCCTTCATGAAGCCTCATTTGTCTCTGTTAGAGAGTGGGCGGCAGAGTCCCAAAGTATTTTTGAAATGATTTTTTTTAGGGTGTTTTAGGTGGAAGTTTACAACAGTAAATTAGTTTCTCATTCAACAATTCATACAAACATTGTTTTGTGACATTGGTTGCAGTCCCTGTGATGTGTCAACACTCTCCCCTTCCCCACCCTGGGGTCCCTGTGTCCCTCCATCCATTTTTCCTGCCCCTTCCTGCCTTCTCGTCTTTGCGTCCAGGCAGGTGTTGCCCATCTGGTCTCCGTTACATGACTGAACTAAGAAGCACCTTCCTCACGTGTCACTGTTTTATTGACCTGTCTACTTTTTTGCTGAAGGATGAACTTTGGGAGTGGCTTCAGTTCTGAGTTAAAAGGGTATCCGGGGGCCAGAGTCTCCGGGGTTCCTCCAGTCTCTCTCTTTTTTTTTTTTTTTTTTA